TTTAAGCTCTTCGAGCTAAGTCTAATAGGTTAATAACCGAATTTCAGCTTTTCCAACGTCTCCCGACTGCACAATACTTTCCAACCTCTTCTCGGAAGCGTGGCGTTCAAATAGTATTCGAGCTGTTGGCTAGAAGTCCACCGCTCTAATCCACTAAAGTACCACGAGATCGGTGTCTTTTCGGTTCCGATCGAAGATACTGTGGTGACTAGCTGGCGTCGAAGTGAACTTTGCAAAAGGCCCACCTATGTTGGTCTCGACGTCAGGGAACAGCCAATCGCAGTTGCCGCAAAGATGCCTTCTGACCTGGCGACGAATAGCAAGCCTGCACGCGTGAACGCTTGCTCTCTGGGCCGCACTTCGGATCACGCCCCTCTAGCGGAAGGCCGTGCTCTCCCTAGTCAATCATCTCCCTGCTCATTCTTCAATCCTCTGTGTACACAATAAACTATTCCTACTAATCTCGCCCCCACCGACTTCTTATCTACTAAGAAAACATGGTCTGAAGATCGCAGTCCCTAGGCTTTAACTTGTACGTGAGCGTTTATCGAGGAAATAAGGAACTCCCTGGTACTTTGTCATGAGACTCTAATCATCTGTCAAGTCAGTTGGCAAGATAGCTTTTACAACAATAGGCAATAGTACACAGTTCAAGGGCAGATTGAAGGGTACCGAACAAGAATTCCATAAAAGGAACCATTGAGAATAACGACGTTACTCATTAAAATGGAGAACATGAAAACGTACCTCATCGAAAACTCTTTGACTCGCTGCCAGTTCGGCAGCTAACATCGTAAACTCTTCCGATGCAGAATTATGCACGGTTTTAAGGGTTGCGTCCATCTACAAATATAAAGAGGACAACATGAAGAGCTGTACAGGCATAAAGCAAGAATAAAGTCTGTCAGTCGCCCACCCAAAGTCGACCTCAAAAATGGTGCGCGCCAACCTTGCTAACCATAACTTACTCCACAATAATGTCGGCCTTACCAAGATGACGGTGGGCCTTATCATACAGACTAGACAGACTGCTTTGGCATTAATTCAATCGAAGCCAAATCTGGCTTACTAATCGATGGTCGAAAGGCCTGCGCCTGATCGGCAACCGGGAAGAATACAATGGGAGGCGACAAACGAAGGTCTATCCCAAAGACTGAAAGGAGGGTACTGAATTCGAAGAAGTCATAGAGTCGTACTTTGCAATATAAAGGCAGCCACACGAGGAAAAGGAAGAGGATTCGCTTCAC